TGCCGGGCGCGTTCACGGACGAGTTCACGCCTTACATCGGCCAGATCATCAACCCCATCCTGAAGGCGCTGGCGGACGAGAACGAGTACGTGCGCGAGACGGCGCTCAAGGCGGGCCAGCGCATCGTGACCTTGTACGCGGAGTCCGCCATCGCGCTGCTGCTGCCCCAGCTCGAGCGCGGCCTCTTCGACGACAACTGGCGCATCCGATACAGCTCCGTTCAGCTGCTCGGCGACCTGCTCTACCGCATCTCCGGCGTCTCCGGCAAGATGAGCACCGAGACCGCCTCCGAGGACGACAACTTCGGCACTGAACACTCGCACCGCGCCATCATGAGCGCGCTCGGCGCAGAGCGTCGCAACCGCGTGCTCGCTGGCCTCTACATGGGCCGCAGCGATGTCGCTCTCATGGTGCGGCAGGCCGCCCTGCACGTCTGGAAGGTACCACCCACGCAAGTCATACATTAAAACGCATTTAAATCCGGTGGATTTTTACTAAACGATTTTATCCGTGCAGGTCGTAGTGACAAACACGCCGAAGACCTTGCGTGAGATCTTGCCGACGCTCTTTGGACTGCTGCTGGGCTGCCTGGCCTCTACCAGCTATGACAAGCGGCAGGTCGCCGCTCGCACCCTCGGTGATCTCGTTAGAAAGGTATGCCTATTTAATTATTTGAAATGTTACAATAATAAATGAAAAAAATATGCATTATACTTAACACTGATTGTATGTGTGTGTGTACGAAAGCTGGGCGAGCGCGTGCTGCCGGAGATCGTGCCCATCCTGGAGCGCGGGCTGCGGTCGGACCGCGCCGACCAGCGGCAGGGCGTGTGCATCGGTCTCGGCGAGATCCTCGCCTCCACGTCGCGAGACGCCGTGCTCAGCTTCGCGGACGGCCTGGTCCCCACGGTGCGCACGGCGCTCTGCGACCCGCTGCCGGAGGTGCGCATGGCCGCGGCGCGTACCTTCGACTCGCTGCACGCCACCATCGGCAACAAGGCGCTCGACGACATCCTGCCGCCCATGCTGGCGCAGCTGCACGACGCCGACACCCAGCGTGCGGACGCCGCGCTCGACGGCCTCAAGCAGGTAGGTTGGCCACCGGTTAACACTAGGTGCTCCTTTTGGCTGTCGTATATTTAGTTTACAATATCTATAAATTTGTATGTATAGCAAGTTAGCATAATTTAAAACTATATAATGGATCATTATTTAGATAATGGCTATCAAGTCGCGAGCCGTGCTGCCGTACCTGATCCCGGTGCTGACGGGCACAGGCGGCACGGGGGGCGGGGCGGACACGCGCGCGCTCTCAGCTCTGGCGGCGGCGGCGGGCAGTTCACTGTCGCGCTACTTGCCGCGCGTGCTGCCGGCGCTGCTAGCCGCGCTACTTGCGGCGCGCGGCTCCCCTCATGAAGCCCGAGAGTTAGACCAGTGCCGCGACGCACTCTTGCCGGTCGTCGACGATGCGGGCGTGCGCTGGTAATCATTACTCCACCGTTTATTTTACCTAAAAATAATGCTATTTTACCATTTTTGCACGTAGAAACACATCCAATTGTCCCATTCTGCTGTCCATATATAGGTTGTAAAATAGTGTGTTTGTGTGCACAGCATCATCGACATGCTGCTGGAGGCGGTGCGCACGAGCAGTGGCGATCGGCGGCGCGCTGCGGCCGCGCTGCTTTGCGCGTTCGTGTCGCACTCGCGCGCCGACCTCGCGCCCCACGTGCCGCAGCTGCTGCGTGGACTGCTGCTGCTCTTCGCCGACACCGACCGCGACGTGCTGCAGGTCACACATTCACTCACATGCTTCGGCATAATATCTCATTTGATATTACTATTTTAGCAATAATAAAAAAATGTGTTTGTGTTTTACCAGATGGCGTGGGAAGCGCTGTCCGCACTGACGCGCACGCTGGACGCGGAGCGGCAAATGCAACACGTGAGCGATGTGCGGCAGGCGGTGCGCTACGCCGCCGCGGACCTCAAGCCTGGTGACCTGCTGCCCGGCTTCTGCCTGCCCAAGGTGCTGCCCTAAAATCAATTATAATATAGAAACATTGATAATCCCTAGCTCCACAGGAAATAATATTAAAATGAAATAAAACTAAAAAACTTATCCTTCGATGTCAGGGCATAGCGCCCATCCTGCCGCTGTTCCGCGAGGCTATCCTGAACGGTTTGCCAGAGGACAAAGAGGGCGCGGCATTGATGCTGGGCGAGGTGATTCGGCTGACGTCGGCGGCCGCGCTGCAGCCCTCCGTTGTGCACGTCACCGGCCCGCTCATCCGCATCCTCGGCGACCGGTTCAACGCCGCCGTCAAGGCCGCCGTGCTCGAGACGCTGGCCGAGCTGCTCTCCAAGGTGCAACGAGTGTTTGGTGCTTCTTCAAATAATATTATTCAAAAAATGAACAATATGTAAACGAGTTATATTGTTGCGTCAGGTGGGCGTGATGCTGAAGCAGTTCCTGCCGCAGCTGCAGACGACGTTCCTGAAGGCGCTGCACGACAGCAGCCGCACGGTGCGAATCAAGGCGGGGCTGGCACTCTCACAGCTCGTACTCATCCACACGCGCGCCGATCCGCTCTTTGTGGAGATGCACAACGGCGTGCGCAACGCGGAGGACGCGGCGGTGCGCGAAACCATGCTGCAGGCGCTACGCGGCGTGCTCACCGCCGGCGGTCAGAAGATGTCGGAGCAGCTGGCGCTGGCCGTGCTGGCCACGCTCACCACACCCGCGCTTCTCGCACACCCCGACGATCCCCCGCGCAGCGCCGTCGGCGGCTGTCTAGGTGCGCTAATACAGTGGCTGCCGACTGCGCACCGCGATGCGGCCATCGCCCACCACGTGCTGGGCGGCTCGCCAGCGGAGGACTGGCTGCTGCAGCACGGCCGCTCGTGCGCGCTCTTTGTCGCGCTCAAGGAGAGCCCGCAAGAGATCTACCGCGAGCCATTCCTCGAGCGCGTAGAGCGCACGCTGCTCACCCATTTGGCCAGCGAGCGCGCGCCCGTCGCCTGCAACGCCGTGCGCGGCATCGGCTACCTCGCGCGCCATCTGCTGCAACACGACCGCCCCCTGCCTCACAACTTGCTCTCGCAGTTCGTCAGGGTGAGCACGCTACCTTAACGGCCGCGCTCAGAAATGCACTTCAAAGATTACCCTATTTTAATTGTAATATGTAGATTTCGAGTGCTTATTTAACAATTCATTTATTACTTATTTCGATAGCACATCACAGTATTCAATATCTTATTATCACTTCTGATACTGAACTATATTTACGTTCATCATCAAAGTTATCTTTCTGTGTAATTGTTTTGCTTTAGTAATATTTTGCCGCGAGCACAAAACTGTCTTATCACAAAACACATCCACCGACAGTTTTATATATATGATAACACTATTATCAAGAAGCAGTCATCACTTACTGCGACATATTTTTATGACGTCATTTATTCAACATAAATTAAACCAATGACACACTTTGTATCGATTAATAACATCGTCCTTGAACAACTCTGGCAACATTATCAAGTATAAGATATTTACCGTTTCTCTTATAACAATACATTTTAATGAAAACTAAATAATTTGTAAAACAATTACTATCATATTGTTACAAATTACGATAATGTCTTTCATAGAAATGACATCTTGTAGTTATAGATTGAGCACATTTGTATCGCACCAAACAGAGTATGAACCACTCGAGCAACGAGGTGAAGCAGCTGATGGCGCGGGCGAGCGCCCTGCTGGGCCGCGAGGCGCCGCTGGAGGCGTGTGGCGGCGAGCTGCTGCGCGCGCTGCTCCCTGCCCTCGTCAATGGCACCAAGGAGAAGAACACCTACGTGCGCGCCAACTCAGAGCTCGCCCTTCGCGCCGTGCTGCGTTTGCCGCACGACGAACACTTCCACCAGGTACTCATCGTCTCAACACGCCACACGCACAATGATTTTTAAACTTCATTGGTATGCTGCAGTCAAAATATTCAGTGCCCAAGGAATAATGGTCCATAAGAAAATTATGAATCAGAGATTGGACTGCTATCCAATAATGTTTTACATGTAAGTACATCCATTGTCGTACATGCAAACTTTCCCATTTAAAATATTAATCAGTAACCAAAACAGATGATGTTATGTATGTGTTGTTGCAGAAATGCTTGGTGCTACTGGAGGAGGGTGCGCGCGAGGCTCTGAGCGACGTGGTGGCCCGCGTGCTGCGCCGTGCGCACGGTGATGCGCGCGATGCCCGCGACCGTGACGAGGACCTAGACTGCACGCTGCTCACCTGAGCCTCGCCCCCTCGCCCGGCCCACTGCCACCTCACTATATTATAATATAAATATCTATTGTTAATGAAGCCACATACACTTTTATTTCAACCCCATTTTGTGTTATTCCTGTTAAGAAACTTTTCCATAGTAGGAAGCCTTAACAACCTTAATTTACAGCCAGCATTGCAGTGAGCTGACAAGTTGACTTCTGGGCTCTAATTACTTAATGTAGCTTTTGGGAGGTCACAATGACTTCAGGGTAAAAAAAAAGAAACTGAACATTTGAATGAGGTATATATTAATTTTGTATTGTCTGCAACTAAGATATTTTCCAACAAAATATAAGACCACTACTGATATTAGTTAACTTGTAATTTGTCAATTTTTTTTATTTTGTATGAGCTAGTGCCTGATTACGGTCCCACCTGATGTGTGTGTGTTTGACAAAAAATATTTTCTTGTGTGTTGTATATGTAAAAAAAGCAATTATTATATTTTTTAAGTCACCATTTATTACCACGTAAATTGACATTACTGATCAAGACAAGACGCACACAACAAAGTGCTGTAATTCTAACAGAAGATTTACAGTTGGATACATTTAGGATCTACAAGCTAGAAATATGTGTAAAAGGATGGGCAAATAATAAAATTCATTTTTGAAATGTTTTTTATTCTGTACTATGATGGAATGTTAGGTAATGAAAAATGTTAAAATTCATTTACTTTCACTTATATTTTAAAATTCAGAATTTGTTATTTTCTTGGAGAAACCCTTGCTTTGTACGAGGTCATTGCATTCGGAACGAGACAGGCGTGAGAGAAGGATGCGCTCCAACTCGCGATCTTTGCTGTCCAACAGAATGAGCTCAGGATCCGCCCCGGTAATAAATTTAACCTCTAAGCGTTCATATTTGGGTGCATCTTCCATTACAAAACTTTTGACTTCAGGTAAACGGTTAAGGGAACAGCCCCTACAACTCTGAAAGTAAATTTACATAACTATTTGTATTTCATTCCATTATTAGATTAATTTCGTTCAAAAGATTATTTTTACCTCAATTCGAGCCGAAGCTATATCAGACTTCTCATAGGCTACCGTTGTAGTAATTACTACACTTACTACTAATATTAAAATATTCCACTGTTGTGCCATTTTAAAATTTATTAAAATACAAAACACAAACTAAAGAATAATCCACACACTTCAACGTCCAAACACCAAAAATGCCTATTCGATAATTGACAATTTGAATTTGACAATGAACTCATGAATTGATTGACAAAAAACAAGATATCATGACAAGTCTTTTTTTTATTATAATTTTATGACCTGGTAACATAGTGGTCATGACAAGTCCCCGATCATTCTACAAAGAGCAGTTAGGGTCAAAATGATTAACTCATCTGAATTCATCAATCATTGCATCTGCTTTCTGCCCGTGCTCTGATATTAATATTGTGATAAGACTGAAGTGGCCAATACGATAAAAACTATTGAAATCATATTCTCGTATATGCGTTTAATGTTTTTTGATGAAATTTAGATAAAATACATCCACGATACAATGTAAACTTATATTGATAATTATTATTTATCTGTTTGTTCTTTGTTATTAAAGGAATAGTATGGTGTCGATGTCACCATGTCCATGTCATAAAATTAAAAAAAGGTGTGGTGTCACTGTCAATGTCAATTGTCAAGTTACACGAACAAAAGAAAGAAGAAAGAGAAGAAAGTCATCTTTTGTGAATACGTTTTTATGAATCATGGAAATTTATTTTTATTAGTAAATACAACAATAATTTTGTAATTTTTTGGGAGCTAAAAGAATTAAACTAAAGGAGTTAGTGTAACGAGAAGATATTGACACTATCAAGTGTTTTCAGAATAGTTCAGTGAATCGGAAATCACAATTGACTGTGACCTGAGTTTTTGGAAGTAAAGTGATCGTGATCTAGATTTAGTGCTTTATACTTGTAGTTAGAGATATAAAACAAGGAGTGGGGAAATTGACATAATTGTAATAAGTTTGTGCATGAATTCATTAACAAAATGCAGAACGAACATCGCAAGGCAATACAAAATAATTTTGGTTCGCTGGTGGAGCAAACTGACCTTGATGTGATGGTTTCGGCTCTATATGAAAAAGGAGTATTTTCAGAACAAATGATCGAACCTTTTAAAGTAAGTTTTTAACTGTTTTTAAATATTTAAACTGTTGTTATAGCATATGTTGCTGTAGTTATAACCATGTTATAGTCTTGTGTTTACTTCTTAATACAATAATATTATTATTAAGGACACAAACAAGGATACAAGGACTAGAAAACGTCAATTGTACATGGACATAATGAGACGAGGGCCTGATGCATTTGGACACCTCTTGGAAGCACTGGAAGAAAATGGCTACTGGAACCTAGTTCGAGACCTGGACCCCGCCAGCTCCCTGCATCTTCAGCCCAGGACCACATACAATAATCAAGGTTATCAAATTTTTTATGTTACCAAAAACAAGTCTTGTCAGTTAATAAGGTTTCATGGATATTTTTTTTAAATCATTTTTTTTTTAGTTTACATATTAAATTATCATGACTTAGTTGACATTGGATAAACTAAATGTTCTTTATTTTTCTCTAAATAAGGTCCATGAAAATAAATTCAATGATATGAGTCAAGTAAAAATAATGGATGTTTATAATAGTTTCTATGATTCTGTTACAGATTCAAAAAGTGGGGAGAGTAACTATGTTAGTATAAGAACAGAGAGAACCAAGAGAACCAAGTCTAATGTTGAAGCCACCAAGAGTTAGTAAGATAAACATCAATCCATGCAATGGAAAGAGTAACATGTCTTTTGAGATTTTACTATTTTCATTGCATGGCTTGAAGTAATAGTTTATTTTTTTAGACAACCACCTTTGTCTTCCACATCAAGAAATTTTATTGAGATCCATTGAGTCGCTTTGGAGATATCTAGTAACAGACATCCATCTACCCATTCCTATTTATAATATTAGTAAGATATGAACAATTTGGAATGTATTTGAATCAAAGAATTGCAATCTATTTGTATGGGCATTCACAGATGAGATTCAGGCTGCTTCCTCGACAAGTCATAAGGAAGGCACGGATCCCTCTGTAGACATACCATACTTCCATGTTGTTAAATCCAAAAAGTTCTTTGAAGACAATGTAGATAAAGGTGAGACAAATAACTTACATTATTTGCTACTTATTTGAGATTAGTTTTGTGTGTGTTTTTGCTTGTAAGTATTCTTAAAAAGGGTGATCTTAAATTTTGAAGGGGCCATGAGTGTAATGTGTTAAATTAAAATGAATTTCTTGTTTAAAAGTTGTTTTGTGAATATTGTATTGATATTTCCAGACATAAAGTTGTACAAGACACGAGGGCACCAGCGCGGAATCTTGGTCATCTTCAGCTATATCCAGTTCTACAATGACATAGAAAGGTATCGCAAGGGAGTGGACATTGACTGCAAGAAGCTCAAGTATCTTTTTGATGAGATCGGTTTTTCCGTCATCGCGTACCAGAACCTCACCAAGCAGGTCAGCAATACAATGCCCATGTATCATAAAGCCACATTGTGGGCGGCCAATCTTGTTAACATAACATAATGATCTTGTAAGGTACACAAAAGATGCAATTTAGTGATGTTTGAACCGAATGTCATAAGAGAATAAGATACAAATGTGTGTGTTGTGTCAGGAGACGGAGACGACGCTGAAGCGGCTGGAGGAGGTGCTGGTGGGCACGGAGTGCGTGTTCATCGTGGTGTCGTCGCACGGGTACGAGCGCGCGCCGCGCAGCGCCGAGACAGACATCCGCTGCTCCGACGGACATCTGCTCTCCTTCCTCGACATCGTGGAGCGCTTCAACAACGCCAACCTGCCCGCGCTGCGCGGCGTGCCCAAGGTCTTCATCTCGCAGCTCTGCCGGTACACCTACATCATATTGCATACTGAGAGAAATCATCTATACATGTTATAAATTATTTTTTTGGCTGGCTGTCTGTCCCCAATGAAATGGCTCGGCTCACTTTGACAGACTTTGCAGGAAGGTAGGTGATGCACGCGGACATGTTTTAGGCTAGTGGTACTTCTGCGACAGCTAGTAATGAAATAAACTGAGCGAATGGTAGGAAGTTGCGGTTAATGAGATGATGTGCGCTGCAGGGGTCGCAACGAGGAGTGGACGTTGGTGCCGCGGCGGCGGGCGGGGGCGGGGGCGGGGTCGGGGGAGGGTGTGGGTGGTGGTGGGGGTGCGGGGGACGCGCCGGACACGCACCACCCCCGCCTGGAGAGCGACGGCGCGCGCTGGGAGGAGCCGCTGGAGCGCCAGCCCGACCGCATCTACTCCGACATTCTGATCGCCCACTCGACGGTGCCGGGTGAGCGAGTGATGTTGTGCGTGTGGTGTCGTGGCGGAGGGTTGTTGTAACGCGGCGGTTGTGGTTGTGCAGGTTTCGTGTCGCACCGGGACCCGGAGAAGGGGTCGTGGTACATCCAGGCGCTGTGCGAGGTGTTCGCGGCGCGCGCGCACGACTGCCACGTGGAGAAGCTGTTCACGCTGGTGGACGAGCGCATGTACCGCCACTTCCAGGTGCAGACCTCCTCCGTGGAGAAGTGGGGCTTCAACCGCCGCCTCTACCTGCACCCCGGCCTCTACGAGGACTGACCCCGTCTGCTGACTGTCCGCCTCGCCTCTACACGACTCCTCGAAGTACGGCTCTCTCGCTGTCCATTACGTTAATAAGTTTATTTATTTAAGCAATAATGATATTATTATATTAATCAGACCAATTAGTTTTATTGTATAAGTATATTATTTAATTAATATTCTTCAGTTGATGTACATTGTATCACTTTCAAACTTATCTTCAAAATAACATAAACAATGTGTTTCGGTCTCGGAATCTCACAAAAGATCTAAAGAAAAATGAACATTCCTCAAATAATGTGCCAAGTAAATGTATAGAAAGTATGTATTTATCTTTTTGTACAAAAACAGAATAATTTAACGTCTTTCATAAAATTGAACTTTTGTATTCATTGTTATCATGTATTTCATATTAACAATGAACTCTGCAAACATCTTTATAGTTATTATATAATATTATATTGCGGTATTGGAAAAGCAAGTTCCTACCAATACATACAAAAGTTCGACTTGTACTCGTCTCGTCATCCATATTGAGTGAAATGTTTCTCCTGCTACTAAAACCTACTGATGATACTTATTTTATTTTTAGGAATAACAACAGCTATTTTTACAAAGTAGGTACAACAGTTACATATATATTTACTGGAAAACTATATTGTCCGGTATACAAAGCCTTCAGTGTTATGGAGATCATTGACGGTTCTGCACGTCTGAAATTAACGCACTGATTTAAACATCATGTCTTCCATTTGCCACAATTAATCGTAGATTTTTTGCAACTATTTACTTAGTAATAAATTTTTTTTTCCGTCGTCCAATCTGCTATCGTGCCCGCTGTGAATCAGCCATGCCTCCAAGGATATATGGTGAATATCCGCGGGATGGTGTCCCGTTCGATGTCTGTTGTATGTCTGCCCTCAAAAAGGCGTTTTCTCAGCATAGAGCGATAAGGATGTACTGATTAAGATGAGCTAGGACTTGAGGTGTAAGATTTGATGGTGGAAATATCAATCCCAGGTTGAGGTTCTAGCTTCTGATATCTGAGGAAGGCATTGTGTAAGAGAGCTACTCGGTCTGATGGGTGTAAGGATATGTTATCTGGTAAATTATTCACTATTTATTAGATTTGACTAGGAAAAAAGTTTTGATGCCAGACGCACCGAAACACTTCGGTCACTAGATGGCGCTATTAGCGCTAGGGAGGAAGGCTAAACTCAATATGGATTTAGGATATCGGTGACTGAAGAATTCATCAAATTATTATAAACAATATACTCTACCAACTCATCCCAAGATTGTTACAGTCGCAGTAGAATTGTGTTTGTTAAAAATAAGATAAGTTTGTTTGATACTTGTGAAAGACATTGTAACATATTCACTGCCAGATTTATATTGACTTGCATTTTTTATACAATATTTGATATGTCTGTGATATATTTAGTTTTAAATGGTTACCAGGCAACGACAAAGATCCAAGGGTGTTTGGTTTTTACCTCTGTGTTTATATTAACCTATTGATAGTGATTTAGAGCAAGTATCATTTTTGATGTTTTACAGAAATGCAACAAGTTCCTAAACATTCGCGAATCTATGGAACAGCTGTTAGTGTAACGTGATTATTATTTTAAGAATTTATAGGCAATAATGTAATTTAAGTGAATTTATGATAATTTTTAAAATAAATATCATGTAATATTTTTTATTAAATTTTGAAATAAATAACCTTAAAATTAACTCCTGTCTTTTAATAGTTTACTTTTAATTTAACTACTTTTTATCTTGGAAAATATAATAAAGAAGAATCTAATGAAGAAGGTTTATTAAGTTAATTTGCATACAAAAATATAAGTATTGAAATAATCAAGTTGGCATTGTTCTTACAGCAGTCGCTCAAGTGGCCACCTTTTACTTAAGTTAACCTTATCAAATATGTAAGTACATGACATTAGTACAGTTATGTACAACAAATGTGTAAACAAATATGTAAGTACATGACATTAGTACAGTTATGTAAAATGTTAAACATATTAAAAATAAAATAATAATTTACTGAGCTTTAGTTGAATTAGTAATATTTTGCTTAATTTAGCCAATAGAAAGTGAAAACAGATAGAAGTAGCTGTATTTGGCCGACAAGTGTAAGTGATGTTCTGCAGCTGTGGTCTCTAGCGGTCAGCGGCAGAGGCCAGTAACATGTTGAGTTTGCTCAGGTTCAACCACTGCCGGACGCAGTCTCGATGCTCCTCGCTACACCGCTCCTGATCTATTGTACCTTCAACGTTGTATAGTTTCTTTTTAAATAAATCGGCATACTCGTCGACTTTTTCCAACCATCTCTGCATGGGACCGATGACGGAGCTGTGATACAGCCAGTTCAATAGCGGAGTTTTAGACCACCACGTTTCGAAAGATTTCCAGTCGTATGCGATGACATTATGATGCCAGTGATTTTTTGTATCAGTTCTGTCTTGATATTGTAGCCACCTAGTGCAGCACTTCAGTTTCTCCGGCAGCGCGGGCTCCTCCTCGTTTGCCGAGTCCGGTACGAGATCCAGCGTGCGGTTGCTGAGGAACGGTGCAATGTCGGATTTGTCGGTCATAACATTTGTGTCGAGAGCGGAGAGTGCGCCGCGCGCCGCCGCGTACTGTAGCGCGGGCAGCCACGCCTGCGACAGCACAAGTGTTGAGGTGAGCACCGTGAGCAGACTCGAGAGGTAGCCGAGCGCCGCCGCCGCGCATGCCGCACGCAGCGCGCCCACCACCTCGCACAGCAGGGCCCCGTCGCAGCTCGCCGCCAGGTCGCCGTATGTGAAGAAACCTCGCAGATTCGCCTGTCGGAGTGCCACTTGCCGCTCCAGCCACAAGAGCCCCGCTTCGAATGATCTTTCGTTCACATAAACATTCCAATCCTATCGGAGAGAAAAATAAGACAAAATGTTACAAATGTTATAACATCTGTTTATATCATTAGCAAAATAAAGTCAATGTTACACACAATAGCATTTAGAAATTCCACTTCGAGTTTCTTGAGCTGGTCCAACTTGAGGCCTCCGGATGCCGCCCACTCGGAGCAAATCACTTCGTCATCCTCTCCATCATCTTGTAAAAACTTGTTGCTCACCATCTGCACTTACAATTTAAGTTTTTACTCAAATGAAAATGTTTTAAACCCCCTTTAATATAAGGACTAAAAGATCCAATATAATAATTTTTATTTACACTTATTTTTCATACATAAACATTGACATTCCCTGCCTGTAATTTTATTACAAGTAAAAATACAGAATGAGCCTTTCTAACAAGAATAAACTAGAATGAAAAGCAAACTGACCAAGGAGACAAGAAAGAGGTCTGCAGGTGCAGCGGAAGCTAGGTAGTCCTTGTTGCAGGATTTGAGGCGTTCCAAATAGAGAATGGCAAGCACAAGGGCACAGGGCGACACACAGGCGCTGCGAGCGATACCAGCAGCCGCATCTGCGCGCAGTCGTCGCAGCGATCGCCCGCGCTGTGCCACTGACCACAGCTCACATGAGATCTCTGCATTGTTTAACCATATTTTCATAAAGTAATATAAACTAAATGTGAAACAGATATTAATGTTTTTCACTAAATAAGATCATTGGCTAGTAGTAGCAATATATAAAGTAAATATTAATTTATCTATAATATGTAGTTACTAAATACAGACTGTGTACTTAAAATATAATAAATGGTACAAAGTTGGATTTCGCCACTTGTAGTACTGACCAGTGACGGGAAGACTGAGGCAAGGCAGGTCAGGCAGCTCACCGTAGTACAAAGTTTTGGTAATTCTCTTTAGAAACTCATCATGGTCTCCAATAGTCTGAAAAGTTTTTATTTTATGTATTTAAAGCTTAAATGAGTAAGCATTAAGACAATTATTTTCATCAACACAAAATTTACAATTTTTTTTATAAATTCTAAGCTTCGGTTTGCCGAAATCGCAAAATGACCACCCATTTGTATGTCCATTTAGGCAGTGGAAACGCACAATAACAAATAACAAAGAGTACAAAGTGATAAGACATAAGCATGCATTGTGAGCGATAACAAGCCCGCCGTGTCGCCGCAATTACCACCTGGTTAACCATGGACACGTATTGTAATATCATACTAACTTATCCTTAGTACTAATTTCCTTTGCAAACATCAACGTCATTTGCTTAAGAAATTTAAGATTTAGTATTATACCTAAAAATACATGTTTTTTTGTTAATTTGAGCCACGACGGGCTTGACCTCCTTCTTACCTTGATCTTGGCCTTTGAGCCTTCCTTTCGTCTTTTTGAAATATTTGACATGATTAAGCTTGTTTCTTGCTCTATTTAACTTCAAGTTGAACGACGCTGTCAACACAAATATTATGAATTTTTTAATCTAAAAATAAAAGTTGTGCAGAACACCGCCACTCGACGGCACAAAACAGAAAAACAGAAAGCAACAGGAAATCAGGAAAGAAATATCTGTCACTGTCATTCTGACAACTGTCACTTACATGTTATTTTTATTATTCACTCGAAAGAGCAGGCAAAGGAACTAAGCCATACAGCCTTTGTCACTTACATGAAACTGACACTTTCCCATAAAAAAAATAAAAAACAAGGCGTCTTGTCCCCAAGTGCCTTGCCCTCTTTTAACAATAGTACAACATAATAAAGTCAGTTTCTCACTAATTATGATAGCAATCACATTAGACTTTTTCCTCGGTGTAAAGTCTCTTATGTCCTTTTTGTATAGATTACTAGGTGACTATATTTATTACTAAAGATTTCCAATTTCTTTCAGATTTCTATATATGCCCAAAAATATAAAATCCTGAGTGATCTAAAGATGGAAAGACTTAGTATTTAACAGCATTTATAAATTAAATTGGGATTTGTTCTTGTTCATCCAATACTTGTGAACTGTATAATTCTGCGTTCTACGCAATTTCTGTCGCTGTCTCGTACTATCTCGTCTCACTGTCGCTGTCAAAACAAAAGCTGTCAAACATAACTTTCGCGAGAAGCGGCTGTATTGCCGATGTCGTTCGTTTAGCTTTCTGTAACAATGTAAATAAGTTTTCGTTGTAATTAAATATCATTGAGGTTTCGTAGTTTTTAAACAAAGAAAAAATAGTAATATTTTGAATTGCATAATGTCAAGGCTGCGATATTTACATAATTTTTACAGGGCGTGTGTGGGCTTCTGTCACTGATATTGATTTGTTTTATTTTATAAGTTTGCTTTCTATAATGTAGTCATACCTAAGACGCTAGTTCTCTATTAAGTGTTAAATAGTTTGCACTATGTGTTAACCGCTAGTGGAGAATGGACATGTGTCATTAAAATGAAAACAAAGAGTTTTCTGCTGTTTTCAACATCAGTATTTGCAATAAGTTTATTTTTGATAGTATTTCACTCCCAACCGCCTCAATCAATTCAAAATATTGTCACACAAACACACCAACATATAAAGGACTTTCAGGTAAATATTAATTCTAATAAGTGTTTTTTTTATCTTTTTATTTAATATTAAAATTAATATGTTTGGGTTATCATTGGTCCCCCAGAAAGTCTTAAATCTTAGTAAGATTATAACCATCAATATAATTTGGAGAAAATTAGACTTTTCTAATCAACTATTCTTCCTTTCATTACAAATAAAATGGTATTAATCCAAAAAAAAAAAATTAATAAGTAGAAAATAATCTAACATTTAATATTTCATGATAGATCATAAAAAATCATTTTGTCAACTTAATGCAGTATTAGTTAGAAGCAGAATTATTTAGGACAAAAAATAATAATCTCTGAAATATCTTTCATCTACCAGATGTTTTTGTTTTACTTTAGCTTCATCGTTATTAGATTATCTCATATATGGGCTTCTTATCTTTTAAGTGAATATTACCCATTGATTATTTCATGCTAATTACTCAATTTTAGTGAAATATAATTTGTATTTTTTTTGTCTATTGTTTTAAGCCGTATATCCATATAAAAAACAAAGGTTTCAAAAAAAATTACTAAACTGGCTCAACATCCATCCATATGAATATTTTTAATTGAATACTATACATATAAATTCGGAAGATTGACTTTTGAGTGTAACATATGGCATAATATGACAATATGTCAGGCGTGGGTCCCACAGGAGAAGCTCCGCGATGTGGAGGCGAGCCATCTGGTGGCGGGCGAGGAGTACGCGCGGCTGCTGGGACTGGACGGGCGCGCGGAGCCCTGGCGCAACACCACGCTGCCCGCGCTCGTGACGTACGCGCGCGGTGACGCGCACGCCCTCGCTGTCGCTTTCGTCCGCCACGCTGCGCGCCTGCCCTACACCGTGCTCCTTTACAACATAGGCCTCAAGCCCTACTCCCTATCTGTTGTTAGTACCTACCTTACTTCAGCAAAACCTTACAATTTTCAACTTCTGATGCAATTAATTGACTTTACAATTAAAATACATTTAAATTAATCTTTGTTTTAAATATATTAGATTTTAATTGTTTGTTCGTTATCACATCATTAGATGTCGACTGAACTTATTATTATTAAACATTTTCTAAATGGTCTACTTTACAAAATATTTGTTTGTCAGGTGTCAAGTTACTGCAACTCGTCCAAATGCGCGGTGGTGGACTTCGACCTGAGCGCCTTCCCTTCGCACGTGAGCGACGAAAGCATCTACGCGTTCCGCCCCCTCATCATACAGGTCAGTGGCAGGAGACAACTGAAGCAAGTGGGATGGGACTCTATGAGCTTATTGTCCTAGCTCAGCGACAAACGTGACGTACACAAAATGTCAAGGCGAGAGAGTTGTACAACCATCGTGCCAAATGTAAGACCGTAATCTCTGCCTATCCCTCAGAGTCACGGGCGTGAGTTATGTAGTTTAAACTCTGATAAAAATGCGCATTAATTTCGTGTTAAAAGGCGGGAAATTCATTTCCTTCAACTGAAATATTTTCCATACAGCAATAACTTTTCGATTATATACAAGTTTGTCTTATTTTTGAGCGATATCTACTGAATTACATATGTATTGCAAACAATATTAAATAAAAAAAATGTGCATTTGTCGCCTATATGTTATTAAGCCCTGAGTACACTAGCTGCTCGATACAACATCCTCAGTATGAGGTCGCCACGTAGTTAGCTCACGCTATCAGCCAGGTGTTATAGAAATTACAAATAGCTTATTACAAATAAAATATGAAGATTATTTAATAGTATGTAATAGTATGTCGATATGTTTGTACTAACCAGTATATATGTAATGTAATGCAACGGGTGTCATCGTGACATTGTCACACCACGCCATCACATTAACTGTATCATATAAATGCAATATACGTATAAGCTATAAAACTTTTATATTGCATCCCATCAAATAGTTATATTAATTTTGATAAGAATTAATACGAAACGTGCAAGGAGCAGTATATACAATCCAATTTTATTGTATTTATGGTTCACTGCTCAGGACTTCCATTGATAAATTATTTTCATCAAAGAAGTTAACTGCTAGACATATCTAGACTAATAAAATAAAACGTAAACTCACATTTCTTTACAATGCAGAATCGCAGCAATCGCGACATATTTTTGAATTAATCTTTTTGTCATAAAAAGTTAGTAAGTTATTATTTTAGGGGTTGAGTAAAATGAAAAAAAAGGGTTCTAGACAGACAGACGGACGGACAAAAAATCTTATAAGGGTTCTGTTTTTTTCCTGTCGAGGTACGGAACCCAAAAAATTGTTATTCGAGAAAGGGACAAATATTGCAAACCAATATCAGCAAAGATGGTTGGTCGCCATGGTAACGATAATTCTCAGCCAATGGCGAAGGTCTTCTTTGTCAATTGAGCAGCAAAATTTTGACATTAGCAATTGAAAGTTTTTCGCAATTACAAAAAAACAAAGATTTTGCGTGTAACAAAAATGAATGGAATTTATGCAGATGAAATCACTATTTCAATTGACATCCCCAACTGTGACCACATTTTCGATCACTGAGGAGACGAGTGTTCTAAAACCATCTCCTTTCCAAACACCTTGTGCTGTTTGAAGTCTGTATGTGTAACAGTAGTTGTACAGTAGTTAGTGACGAGTGTTGCCACAGCTAATGCAAAAGTTAACTTGAGATGTAATCTAAATGCAATTATTGTGTTGATGATAACATTATCGCGATCTGTTTATACTATCAGTATGTAGATAGCATTACTTGCGCGTATTAAATAAGATAACAAACTATTGAGTAGGCTTAAGAACTTATTGTGACTTCGAAACCAAGGCACGTACAAACATTGTTTCCTACTGTTTTACCATAGCTCCCTTCTATTCTCTTTGAATAAAAAACAAATATGTTCTTCTCCAGAAGCTTAGGGTGACAACATGGTTACGAATGAATACTTCTGACTTAATAAATTTTATTTCTTGAAGGAAACCTTTGAGAGAATTATGTCAGTGAAAAGTAAATGCAACTACAATTTATGTCTATACAATTGCTATATTGAGGAAAATTACCGTGCGGCAACATGTGGTCCCCGTCAGTGTGACGAGGATCTCCACTGAGCTGAGTGTAACGTTTGATGTGCCATGTGGCCACTTTGACGTGCGCTTTGTTTTATGATTTATGTCATACACGCACTCACCGGCTACACGAGATGTAAATAGATTGCTTCGTCACACATTCACTATGATATTAATGTTGTCCTCAAAATATTGAACAGATGTTTAAGTTTGCACGCTTTATCAACCAGCTTGACTCTTCTCCCTTCATGTATTTTAGTTAGAAACTATATATTGGGTAGTATTAATAAATCAGGACATAGGTGTGAGTTATTTAAACATAACCCTGTCCAAAATAAGACCGCGCTGTATCTGCATGCGGGAGTATATGTTGAATTAACACGTTTGGAACTTATAGGTAATGGAAGTTTATGTGACCGACACACCATACTTAGATAATTTAAGGCGAAGAAGTATGATACTACTTATTAATCAAATCTTCCCACTGCTGTTAAGTATTAGGGCGTGGAATGATAAATATAACATCAATATGTCATATATATTTTATTTGGCCATTAAACAATTTTATGTCTCATATGTTACTTATGGTCGAGGCAAAACGAAATTACCTAAAAGTCTTTTTTTCATATTATAGTGGTATTAAAACCGTAACGATCACATTATAAGTATTATGGATTAATATAGGTGGAGGCTAGGGATGTCCCAATACGAGTTGTCGATAAGATACCGATTAGCGATAGTTAACTGCCGGCGATATCAAAAACATCTTCACAACACCAAGGGAATTATTTGTGCTTTTATTATTACAATATAAAAAAATGTATAAGCCTAGCTACGAGAATCTAAGATAGGCGCTTAGAAAAGCGCTAACTATAGCTTGTGTTATATCTGAAAAGTGTAGGTCTCGAACAAGCCGGCACTATTAATACGACGGCGGCTCTGTTTACCCCGTCCTTAAAATAATGACGTAGTGTATTGTATACCTTGTCGCGTCACTTATATCTATATACTAACACGTACGAGTAGTTTCAGATCTTACTTATTGGGCTCATTCATTATACAATGTGACGCCATAACATTATTTCTTTTAAACCTTTATAAAATTATGGATTCAAACGATTGTTTGTCCAACTAGCTACTGTTGTTTTCAGCACGCACTGAGTCGCGTAGGCGGCGTGATCTTCAGCGAGAGCGCGCAGCGGTGGGTGGGGTCGCGCGCGCAGCTGGCGTCGCTGTGGGCGCGCGCGGCGCACGCCGGCCTGGTGGCCTGGCCGCGGCGGGCCGCCGTCACCTCGCTCACGCACCCGCGCATGTTCACGTACTTGCGCGCGCACGCAGACGACTTCCTCTTCGTGCAGATGATGGACGCGGAGCGACTGCTGGTGGCGCCCGCCGCCGCAGACGTGATGCGCCCCTGGATACAGTGCGCCCTCACCCTCGACTGCATCATGCCCATCGGTGAGGACACGCATCTCGACATCAGTCAATTTCGTCGCGTTGCAGTGATGAGTTCGTACAGTCCACGAATGCCGTTTTATTACATCGCCAATGTGACTGTGCCTGCAGGTGCGCAGTCGGTGGGGTGCAGGTTCGACAAGAAGCCGCAGTACCGGTACTCGGGGTGCCACGCGCAGGACGCGTCGGCGCTGAGCATCGTTCTGGGCCTGCGCTGGGGCTTCGACGAGGCGCGGTACGTGGAGCGCGCGCCGCTGTGGCGCCGCCAGTCGGAGGCCGCCGCGCGCGCCGCCTTCGCCGACCTCCAGCGCAACACAACCGACGACGAGCGCGCCGAACAACACGTCGAGCAGCGCGCCGAGCACCGCACCGAGCACCGCATCGAACACCGCACCGAGCAGCACACCGAACATCGCGTCGAGCAGCGCACCGAGGTGCACCCGCAGCAGCTGACGGAGCCGCCGCGGCCGCGGCCGTGAGCCGTGTGCCGTGTGACGTCTCCGCAGACAGCGCGACTGGTTTTGCCGCTCCAACGTACACTTCCTCAGCGCAACCGCGAGTCCTCACTCATCATCGATAGCATCGCAACACCATTCATTCGCTAACCTAATCGTTTTTTTTAAATAAGTCTCCATGAAGGCAGATGTGAATCTTAATTACTGGCATGTTTTAATGTACAGTGCGGAGCGATCGCGAAGGTGTCGCGCAGGTGCCGGGAGGAGCGCGTGGAGATCGGTGATGTCGCACCGTTATATTGTAATATTCGTCCGAGGACAGAATCGGTTCTTACACATAAGAGTTGAAACACAAGGCTAGGAGTTAGTGTTTACTTACACAGTATTAGTGCATATATAACCGAGCTGTAACATCAGCAGACTGTGATCCTATGTTTGTGCACAAAGTGACGAGATCTCACTCGTCAAAGCGTTTCTTGAGTTAATATTATTTATTTGTCAACACTTGGGATGATTTTTACACAATTTATTAAATAAGTTTTTGCCGGAATTAAGCAAAAACGTAGTGATGTTTATGCCATATCGATGTTTATTAACGAACATATTGTACAGACGAATATATATTTGGCGGAAGGATTTTGTTAGCGAATATATTTTTTATTATTTTTATAATGAATTTGTACAAGATAACATATAATTGTGATGGCAGCGTACAATCTTATAATATTGAAGTTGCACGTGCATTATGTACGCGCTACTTTAATTATTATTTATACAATATACTGATTTATTATAATTTACGTGGGCATATTTTTGTCAGTTTGAATAAAACATACACGTTATCCTATCAGCAATGTGCGGCGGCCGGTGACCACTTTAACGTTTCTACATTTGTGTTCCACTGAATTATATACAACTGTACTGATTGCAATAACATTGCATCCACTTACTTTACTTAAGATGAGCTCGTGTTAAGGTAATGTATGATGGCAGCTAAAAATATAAAAGTTTGTGTACATGAAGGGAGCAGAGGATCCGCATAGTTTTAATAGATCCTTAACACTTGAGGAACTCTCTTATTCACATTAAACTCTGATCATCTCATATTGCCGTGTAGAAGTATTATTTTCTCCGATGTATTCATAGACATAGTACGTAGAAAACAAAGGAATAAGATTAAAACAATATTGTTCAGTCCTGTAGATAGATAAAGTTATCTGACTTGGTGAGAGTAAGTCAAACTAAATTGTAACAGTCCCCAGTCAACATCACAATTGTGACATAAGATGATTTTGGTACTGCAGCTGTCTTTTCAAGTTCTTCCACCGGGCCAGATAATGTTTTTGTACTATAGGAAGGAATAATAAAATTGTTAGTTTATTCCTGTGCTTAGGAACAAAAAATGTTGGCGCTCCGTGTTTTAGGTTTTATTGTAAAGTAATACATGGGTGTATTATTATTATTATGTCGTATTAATTTAATTTAATTTATCCTATATTCTTGTATCGGATTTGTTTGTAAATTTGATTATTGTAATGAAGTTAGTTGAAGAAATGTAAATATCTCTATATCATTGTATCTCTATGCAATATCAATATTTATTTAAGACTGACTATTTTTGTGTTCGGAACCCCGCGAATTATTGCTGTACGTTTCCACTGTAGAAACACTTGTATAAAAGCATGTATCGGCTGTGGAATTGCACGGTTATTGTGTCAACGTATAACGTTATTGTATTATTCGAATATTGTTTATATTAGGTTTTATGTTTTTTTTTTATTGTAATTTAAGGCGTGAAATATTTATTTTGTGATATATTTTATTCTAAAACAATTGGGTTAATAAATTCTGGCACAAGTAAGATAGTTTATACAAATCGCATACTATGGCAGCTTGAAATTTACCAAAATATAATTTAATTGCGTAAATATAACATAAATATAGTTAATATGAAGAAAAGTACAATTTAAATAATACTGCTTTTAAACTTTCAACTTGCAAGGATTTATTATGTATTCTCCTCAGCTCTTTGCATCATTTCCCTGAGTTGAAGTTTCCATTTTTTTTACCGATATGTTCTTTACTTCATAAAGACGTTGTTGAATTCGCATTGCCGATGATATTTCTCAATTTTCAAGGAACATGTTTTAGGTTAATGTTTCGTCCAGTGTGAATGCGGCGACGTTGAACTTATATAATATTCGGGTCAAGGACGGCGATTTAGAATTATCACATTCTAACAAATGGGTTATATTCCATCGTTACAAATACATTTATGTATTTAATATGTCTTTACCGGGTTACCACAATGTAGAGTAGGCGAGTGTGTCTCTGACATGATTCTATTTTTGCTCGTCCAGTGACATAATGTCGTTCAAACTCTAGCTGTTTTTATATTTACAAAAACAAACTGCTATTGCTGGTTTTAAATGATGTTTGTAAGTTTCGCCTCATACCGATTTCAGATTTTGATTTTTTTTATAACCTACAAAAAAATGCCTTTTCGCATTCTTTTACATAATTTACAATACTTTGTACTTGAAGTATGTTAGTTACAGGATAAGAAGGATCTCATTGTCATGTGAAGCTTGCGAGCTGCCGCGTGTCGACCAATTATATGCATTAAGCAACTTTATATCAAATTACGCTTCTAAAATTAAAAAGTATACGTTTAAGTTTGTAAAGCATTTTCATTTTTGTATATTTTGTAAAGCTTCGATGTCGCAAGTCTTTGTCCGAGGATAATTAAAAAAAAAAGAAGACGCAAAATAATGCGTTATCGAAACTGTTCTGCGAGTATAAATTCCCACTTATTAGTGCATACTATTTATATAGATCCGCGCACTCTGCTGTACACATTATAAAAACAAAATATTGGCATTAAAAATATTTGAAAGCAAAAGTGTGTTTTAATGTTTGTTTCCTCTGTGTTGCTCTATATAATTACATCGACGGACATCACAGTATAGAGATAAAAAAAAACGTAGTACACCAAAAATACCTGTTTGGGGCCTTTTTTATTATTCCAAGTTCACCGTATCAAGAACTATTCAATTTGTCATTTTTAAAAGAGATTTTTTGCAATTCTATAGCTACAAAGAATTTAATAAACTACTTTCAGTTGTGTTCACAGCTTAATTTGAATGTTAAAGCGTAATGTGGATGGAGTTATATTAAAATTAAACAAATTATAAAATTAAAATACGTATATTTACAAATTAAAGGAACTGTCAATTATAAAAGAATTAAGATTTGTTGTAATATTATATACAAAAATGATTTAAACTGACTAGTTATCTTCAGTTGATATTAGCTTAATGCCCTACATTTATTACATTTAGTTGCATTATGGATAATAGTGAATTTATATGATAAAATTAGTCGCTACATTTATAGATAAAATATTAACTAAAACATTCAAAGCATTGCGTGAATATTCATTTCAAAATTCAATTCTTAATCTTTAAAATAAAATTATCTGATAGCTCAACTTAAAATAAAAAGCAACAATGATGTTACCATGTTACCATCTTCTATAAAATGCTGCAACGGGCATCGCACTTTCAGTGATAAATTCAGATTGTATCAAATATGCATTAATAATATACTGTTCATATATTAATTTCCATAACTAAAAAACTAAACTATAATCAGTTTATAAAACACACCATAAATAGATGAAAATACAATTAATGAATATATATAAAGTCAAAACATGTGAAATCTATCAAATATCAATAATTGAAGATAAATAAAATGGTTTTAAAATTGTGGATTAATTACATCATGTATATTCAAAGTACAGTTATATTTCAAAAATTAAATTATTAAAGAAGCAAAGTAAATTTCAACCATAAACAGTTGGACATACTCGGCAGAGAGTACATTTTGGAAATGCAATAATATCTAAATAACGTGCAGTATATTTTAAGGTAATTCTCATTAAATATACCTACATCTATTAGTTACAAATGATCAAATACATAGCAATAAATTCGTCTAAAATTAGAGTTAAGTCAAAACTTTATAAGTTACAAAATATAATAAAATTTGAATAGTTTAAAGAATGTTACATTTTAAATACATTAATGTTGAAATATTTATTTAGACCTATTTCTTCTAAAACATGCTCCTAATTCAGACCAAATTGATTTGTGCTTTTAGACATAAGTGCTAGAGATAATTTATTGTGTAGTATTATTGAGTGACATTCTAAATATTCTATTTTGTATTATATAAGTAATATGCCTTGTCAATTAAGTTTGAAGTATGCCTAGAGAAGCTCTTAAAGACATATTTAAATAAAACTTGATAAAAAACTGCAGCATCTACACATAACACAACAAATACAAACTTATATTTTACAAATTAAATACTAAGTTTTGCTTTTGCTTTCTTTGTTATGTTAACTACAAAGATGGCAAAAGCAAAACTTACTAAGTTTGGTATAATCTACTGCTATGTAAGACAAGTTTAGGTTCACTCTCCGGCGAGCGACAGGAGGCAGTGAGAAGGCACCAATACTGAATCTTTACTTATCTTTAGCATCCGTCTTCTTCTCGTCGTCCTTGAAGAGCAGCGGCGTCATGCCGAGGAAGCAGCCCAGTGTGATGCCCAGCACTCGGCCCTGGCACACAACATATTCCGATATTAACACCAAAGATTGTTGAACTCAAAACAATAAACTAACAGTAAGACTATTAGCAAATATTGAGTATGTGAGTATGTAAATAGAAGTATGTGATAGATAGATGAGCTAGTGCCATGGATGTATGTATAAAGTTGTTAGGTTACCATGTTTGCAAAGCGCCGGCTGACAGGCATATCGAGCTGCACTGGGGAGAGTGCGGGCGCGCCGAGGCCGAGCAGCGCGGCGCCGCGCTCCACGTAGTACGAGGAGCCGATGCCTATTACATCGCTGAAAGTGTTGCCCAGCGCCGCTGCCGCCATCGTCGACAACGTTATGTAGGCGCTCATGCTGCTCTCTATACTGTCGCCCTACACACACGTACCCGCTAAAGTTACTCACTCATGAAGTTAGTTACTCATATAATGTATTTTGTAAATGATAGTAGTGTAACCATCAGTGTGATCTATATCTATATGATTCATAAAATAGCACAAAATCATATTTTTAGCCAACATTTGCATTGCTTACTGCTGTTCACTGAAATGGCTGGACCGATTTTGACGGGCCTTTTTCTGATGAGAGCTTCTGTGTATCTTTGTTTAATCTATTCTATTACGAAGTCATGGGCTAGTTATCACATATAAATAAGACAGTAGATATTTTTTTAGTACAAATAAAGAAATTTATGAAACTACAAACATTGTTAGTACATTTACAGATTGGATCCAAAAATCACAGTCATATCGAGTAATGTTTATATTCGCAAAGACAGATAAACTAAGCTAAGACAACATAAGTTTTCTGATCAGTATCAGTACTATATAGTGCTTTATGTTTTATTGTATTTATTATATGACATCATCTCCATACAGAGCAGGGGTGTGCCAACAAGTTGATTGCAACTATTAGTACAGTAAATCAAAGCAAGGCTTAGTAAACATAATTGTCAGTTTTATTTCTCCCTTTTTCAAACATTTCAAGAGGTATGAAATTGGTAAATCACACAGGGTTTTGTCAGTAGATCTTGGACCTAATCAAGTTGGTCACCCCTGATACAAACACAACTGAGAGTTAACTAAGTGATTAACACTTCAACTCACAAAATATATGAAAAATATACTTACAGCGATTATCATGATGAAATTATCCAAAAATCCAAAGCCAATAAAAGGAATAGAGTTTGCCAGGGACACTGTAATACAAATAAAATGTTCAACACAGTGTCTAGTGTTGCCTTTTAAGTGAAAAAAAAAAAGTATTAATTCTTACTAAATGAAACCTCAACAATGTAATGACATATATGTGATACCAAGGTATTAAATAAACCTTTTACAATCAATACTTACAATGCAATAGTTCCTTAGTTGTGGGTTTTGGTACTGTGGCCGCTGAAACCAATATAAAGTTTTATAAAGCATATCAATTGTTAATCAATGCCACATATTTAGAAGCTGTAAAAATATAACTTACCATATTTCTTTTTCAGCCAATCTTCAGGTACGGGGCAATAAGTTCCAGTGGGGTCCACGTCGCCTAGCGTCGGCACTTTACTAGGTCTACCGAGCTTACTCCTCCATCTTTGACCAGCTAATTTATCTAGCAAATAAATGACTTTGTTGGTTTATTGCTTAATGGAGGTTGTCAAAATTTGTACAATAAAATACCTTCAAATTCTTCTTTGATGCGATTCGATTCATATTCTTGTAATGCGTTAAAAAGTACCTTCCTCTCTTCATCGTTCAAATGTAGGACAAGTTCTGTGGCGTGAACTTTTGTTAGCGGACCGGATATTTGTGTCGGCTCTTCGAAATCCTTCGAAGTTGGTCCTAAGCCCAAGTTACGGATGTTAACTATATCAGGAACTATTTTTTTAAACTGTAAAGTTCCCACTGTGACACTGTGCCGTACTTGAAGTTTTGATAGTCTTTTATGACTACAAGTGTTTAAATAAAACATTGATGTACCACAAAACCGTTTCATTGCATGTATTGACTTCATTTTGTAAAAGGTGAGTCAAACTTAAAGTGTAAACAATCAAACACAAACAGGTCCCAGTTTCTTTGAGATCATACTCATTTATAAATGAGATTTTACGCTGCGTCTCTCGTACAACACAGCTATCAAATATGTCAATGTCAAATGTCAATGTCATGAAGTCAATTAAAATCGTTCAATTTCCAAAGAATTATTTTTAGAAAAATTGATGTTGATAAATTTCTTTGAATACCAATACCAACTTCAAAAGTAGCTAGATATACATAAACCATATCTACGATTTAACTTTATTAATTATCATTTATGGTGTTAAAAATATCGGTTTTCATTTACAAGATCGTTTCTTCAAATTGTGGTTTCATCTGAGAAAGTATTTGACTTAAAAGTCTTGCAGCAAGGCAATAAAATCTTTAAAAAAAATCGTATTATGTCATAATTTGACATATGTCAACAAAGGAAAACAAATTTTACCAATTCGTTAAAGAAATCTGAAAAAGTAAAGTAGTGAGTTAAATAAGATTTAATTAAGTATTACAGCAAGAAACTTTGTAATCCTATTAATTTTTAAGAACAAACATCTCACAGTAATTTATTTGAAAAAGTAATGTTAAGTATAGGCCTGTAACGAGCGAATATTGTAACTTGACCATGCACGATGTTGGAGGGCCTAGTAGCTTGGGTATTGAACAATTACCTCGGGAAGTATGTGGAGAACTTGAATACGGATCAGCTAAGCGTAGCCTTATTGTCTGGTACGTTGCATACATTCACTTACTATCACTTGTATCAACCGGTTTTCTTATTGGAACTTTACGATGTTTCTTATGTTTTTTTCAGTTTTGTCTTGAAGCGAATGTATAATTGTTCTGCGACAGATTTTTAGTGACCCTAAAATATAATTTTTTATTTTATTATTGTTATATTCAGAACATGGCCACAATTCCACCTGATGTTAGTAATAATGAGGTATTATTATTAAAAAACTTCTGATTATCACTTTTTACCCCTATCTGTCATGGTTAATTTAATCCTAAAAAAATATTTAAAGGCAATATTTTTTTTAGGCAAAGTAGAATTAGAGAACCTACCCTTGAAGAAGGATGCATTGCGGCATTTGGGTCTTCCGGTGGAGATCAAGGCGGGATTCATTGGCAAGGTGCAGCTGCAGGTGCCAGTGCGCCAGATCCGCTCTGCACCCTGGCTCATTGCCATTGAGAACCTTTACCTGGTTGCCGCACCAGTCAACCTAGATGAGGTATAGTGTTGTGTTGTATGTAACACTTAAGTATAACTAGTAACCAGGAAATCTATACTTATTTTAGTAAGTTAACTTCAATTTTGATTTATAATTGTGCATTATAATAAGGAATGATGACAATCTAAATAGACTTAAATTATACTTATAATTATGTTCAAAGAAAACAAGAGTTGTTCTTGTTTCTAAATATATCTGTTGATGTCCTCAGAGCGGTGTCGCTTTGTGTCAGCTCATACTGACAAAGATTTGGCTTTGAGCCAATATTTTGTTTTATAATGAATGTTTCATATGTTATAAATCAGTATTTACTATCACTGTATTGATTGAATTAGATATGAATAGTATTGTATTAAAACTTAACTGCACAGTTATATTTGTAGTAATATTGACATTTTTATGGATAAGATAGTAAACCCAAATGGTTTTTCCATGTTTTAGCTCTTGTGTTGAACTTTGTTTTGCCTTGATAATATTGATTAGACATACAAAATTGACTTTATATTACATTTACCTACTTTAGTAACTTACTTACATACTTTAGTAACTTACCTACCGTTTCATAGCGTAGTACCAAAGTGTCTGGACAAACCCGCAATGGGTTTATAGACACTTTTATTGTAAATTTGTATTTTATTCCTTGTTTATATAAATAAATAAATAAAATAAAATAAATAAATTTATTTTACATACAGGTATACATAATATTATCCATTCACCCACACATACAAACTGCAATCTGTACACACTTTGTCTATTGATTTCTCTAATGATATCTACCATTGACATTCTCTTATGTAATAAAATATTTAGTATTGTTGACACCTCCTACATGTATATATTTGCTTTTTACTCATAATAAGGAAGCAAAGTCATAAGAGCTGATTTGTTAGTATCATGTACAACTATGGCCTAATCACCCTTAACTTAGGGTAGGCTCCGAGCCCCTCAGTGTGGATGTATAGTGAGCTGATGATGATGATGATGTACAACACTATGCTTAATTATCAAGAGTTTATTACATTCTCAAACAAATACATAAATTAGTGTTAACGAAATAAATAAAGTTAATGTACTTCTTTATTTATTACTCCTCATAAAAAGTGTACAGATGAAAGTGTTATAATAGTAAGATGTTGATCAGACACAGGTACATATGTTTACTACAACATCTGATTTAATGTGACAATTCATTATAATTCAAACGTAAGACTTGTGCCACAATAAGTAATCTAATATTGTGTTTTATATTCAAATTGAATTACAATTCAAACTTATCCATTAACTGTTTTGTATAGGTATTTATATTTTTTATCTTGACAGGATGATGTATGCATCATAATGCTAACTATCTTGACTTTGTCACTTGTCTGGTTATGTATTAAAAGTAATACAATTTTAAAGTAGCTATTTTATATCTCAACACCTTTAATATTTTTTTCTTAAAATTACAACTATCAAAAAGAAAGTTTTGTGCAGGGCCAGTCCTGTTATTAATAATATGCATAGTATTATAACATTGTGTAAGTTCTAAAATATTGTTTGGTAAACAATCAAAGAAACATATTGTCAAATAGAAATTGGTATTATGGTGCCCATACAAAATTATGGTGTGTATAAGTTTTTACCTTCAGTGAAAAGTTGCTAAATTAAAAATGACAAACGGCTTCCACGTGCATGGTAGCTTACCTCACAGAGATGGCGGTGGTGATTGTTGCAGTGGGACAGCACGGTGGAGGCGCACATCGCGCACGAGCGCAAGACTGCGCTGCTGGACGCGCTGGAGGCGCAGTGGCGCGCCGAGCACGAGGCGCGCGACGCCGGCTACTACGCCGCCTCCTACTCAACCTGGCTCAGCTACGGTACCGGTCTGCTCGCCAACATCGTCGAGAACCTGCAGGTGCCTCCCGCTTCCCCCCTCCCCCCCTCTTCCACGTCCTCGTCCGCTCGCTGCACCGCACACGACACCGCCCTAGCTGCTGACAAATATGTTTCCAGTTGAAGTTGACCGACGTGCATATCCGGTATGAGGATGCGGTGACGTGCGCGCCGCAGAGGTTCGCGTGCGGCCTCACGGTGCAGTCGCTAGCGGCGGAATCGTGCGACGCGAACTGGGTGCGCGGCTTCACGCTGCTGGCCGACGCCGACTGCTCCTTCAAGCTGCTCGAGTTGCAGCAGCTCGCAGTGTACTGGGACCCCATGCCGCCCGCCGCCGCGATGGCCACCTGCACCCTCGCCGAATTGACCGTCAGTTACGATACTATTAGTCATCGATAAGGATTAGTTACGTTTAGGAAACTGTGAGATAAGTAATTCGTAGGAGCGTATGCGTGCGACGTGGCTGTGCGAGCACCGGTACCTGTCGGCGCCGGCGTCAGCGCGCGCCCGCGTGCGCCGCGAGCGCTGCGAGCAGCCGCTGCGCTCGCGCACGCGCCCGCGCCTCGCCTGCTACCTCACGCTGCCCAGCGTCCAGCTCGACCTCACCTCCGTGCGTACCCGCGCTTTTATTTATATAAGCAATTGAAAAATGTGAATTACAAAAATTTATGTATTTTTTGAACGTTCGAAACGAATCGTTTTCAGAGACAGTATAGCGAGGTGGTCGGCTGCGCGGTGGGGCTGGAGCGCATCGCGCGGCTGCGGGAGTTCCGCGCGCTGCGGCCCGACGTGGCCGTGGTCGGACACGCGCGCGCCTGGTGGCTGTACGCGCTGCGCTGCCACGCGCCGCACCACCGCTGTCGGTTGTCTCCTCCGCTCGACTGTATCCGTCGCCGCGCCGCCGCCGTCTCCTATAGCGTCTCATCACTTTGCAGGGATGGATCCGAAGCCGACGTGGGCGACGTGCGCGGAGCGGGCGCGGCGCACGCGTCAGTACGTCGACATCTGCCTCGGCGTACTGAGCAACCCGGCCGCCACGCTGCCGCCGGACAGGAAGGCCATCAAGGATGAATTCGAGTGGAACACTCCGCTCTCGGTGCTGAAGCCGCTGCGAGAGGTGCCGATTCTATCGGTTTTTGGTTTCCAGCTATCGGTACCGTATACTACTACTGGAGATATTTTAACATCTCATTGATATACGCAGGTGGCGATGCGCAAAGTGCCCATTGCCACTCCGCCCTCGACGCCGGAGGACGCGCAGGCGAACTCGGGACGCAGCGTGCTGGTTCGCTGGTTCCCGTTGTGGTGGGGCTGGTATGCCCCGGCGGGAGCCGTAGACGCGTCGGCCGGAGGGCCCGAACCGCCGCCGCAGCCCCAGCGGCCCCAGCAGCCGCAGCAGCCACAGGGCGCCGCACCGCAGCTCGAGGAGGAGATCCTGGATGTGATCGCGGACTCGCTGGAGGACAACACGCTGCTGCGGCGGGACACCGTGTTCGGCCTCTTCGAGTTCACCCTCGAGCGCGGCTCCCTCAACCTGGCCACCGAGCCTGACGACCGACATCAACTCCAGTTAGTCCTTTTGCTTTTCTCTCAAATGAAAACTTTATCTTGTGCAATTTTTATTTTATAAAAAATGTAGCGTACCAGAGCGGGCGATGAAGACACGGATGTTATGTCCCAGGAGTTCGGCGAAGCCGGAGGGCGAGGCTGGCGGGGCGGGCGTGGAGCTGCAGTTCTCCAGCGTGTGCGTGCGCGTGGAGACGCGGCCGCGCACGAGCTCGCACGCGCTGCACGTGTCGCTGGGCGCCGTCTACCTGCGCGAGCGCATCACGCCCGGCACGCTCTTCCCAGTGCTCGTCGCACCCCAGGTGCCTCCCCCCTCCCTACTTATCATATCTTTTATTTTTACCTTAATTAGACCAAATCGTATAAAACTGTAACAGTTTTAGTCTGACGGATTTGGTGTGATTAAGGGATCGAGGATCGAAAAAAACTGTTTATTACGTTATCAGGGCATGATCCGGGAGGGGCTGAGCGCCATGAACGCTGCGGCTAGCGCGGCGGCGTGGTGGCGCGCGCAGCAGCCGCCCACCACGCCCGCCGCCACCGCCACACCCGCCACACCCGCCGAGCCTCTCTTCCAGCTCTCCTACGAGAAACGCCCCTTCGGCCTCAACTGTGATTACAAGTAAAAATATTATAAAAACTGTTGAAGCACAATGTGAACCGATTGCAATGCACGGAGGCACTGCGCACGGCTGCAAGTGGTTGTTGTGTGCGCGCAGGCTGTGGGTGAAGTCGATGTCGCTGGAGGTGGTGTACTGCGCGGCGGTGGCGCGATGGGCGCAGCAGTTCGTGACGGCGCCGTGGGGGCCGCGCCGCACCATCGCGCACGTGCGCGACCAGACGCGCGCGCGCCTCCTCACGCACTGGGAGCACATGCTGCGCGCGCACCCGGTACTCAGGTTGCCGTTTTCCCTATATGTTTTACTCTGAAAAAACAAACTGTGACACTAGAATCGACCGGGCAGGGCGAGCGGCGGTCGTGGCAGGTGGAGCTGGACGTGTCGGCGCCGCAGATCCTGTTCGTGGAGC